TGATCCACTTTCTTAGTGACAGTGAGGACTCGAGCAGCGGCGTTCTGAATCAGCTGCAGCTTCCTAATAGATTTGTTAGTGAGACCTGTAAAGACACCATTACAGTAGTCGAGTCTACGGAAGATAAAAGCATGGACAAGTTTTTCCAAATCCTGCTGTGACATTAGTCTTTTAATCCTAGATATGTTCTTTAGGTGATAGTAGGCTGATTTAGTAACTATTTTAATGTGACTGTTGAAACTCAGGTCAGAGTCCATGACTACACCTAGATTTCTGGCTTTATCTGTTGTTTTGAACATTGCAGACTGAAGCTCAGCGCTAACTTTTATACGTTCTGACTTGGCTCCAAAAACCATTACCTCAGTTTTATCTTTGTTTAATTAGAGAAAGTTCTGACACATCCAGTCATTGATTTGTTCAATGCACTTACTCAGTGTTTGAATTGGAGCATAGTCTCCTGGTGAAATTGTTACGTAATTTGTGTGTCATCCGCATAGCTATGGTAACTTATTTTGTTGTTTTTCATTATCTGAGCCAGTGGTACCATGTAGATGTTAAAGAGAAGAGGCCCCAAGGTGGAGCCTTGAGGAACCCCACATGTCATATTTGTCGACTCAGATTTGTATTTACCTATAGAAACAAAGTTGTTTCTGTCCTTTAAGTAGGATACAAACCAATTTAGAACTGTTTCCGAAAGTCCCACCCAGTTCTCCAGTCGGTCTAGTAATATGTTGTGGTCAACAGTGTCAAACGCAGCACTGAGATCTAATAATACTAACACTGAAGTTCTGCCACTGTCTGTGTTTAAGTGGATGTCATTAAAGACCTTTACAAGAGCAGTCTCAGTGCTGTGGTTTGGACGAAAGCCTGACTGGAACACATCCAAACAGCTATTTAAATGCAAGAAATTACTCAACTGTTGAAAAACAACTTTTTCAATGATTTTACCTAGAAATGGGAGGTTTGGTATGGGCCTGTAATTGTTCATTACTGAAGCATCTAGATTATTATTTTTTAAGAGCGGTTTAATGACTGCAGTTTTCAGGGCCTGTGGAAAAATACCTGAGTGAAGAGATTTGTTTACTATATGAAGTAGATCTGAGGCCATGCAAGGCAAAACATCTTTGTGTGTTTGTGTGAGTTTATCTAATTTAGCAGTGATTCCATGTCAGCCACAGCTTGTTACAAAAAACCTGACTGATAGTGTGTTTAACGAACTTAAACTAGCTTTATTAAATGTCAGGTCTTTGGCAGGAAAAACATTTGTAATCAATGATTTTATCACTGAGCACAATCTCGATGTTATGTTTTTAACAGAAACTTGGATTGAACAAAATAACAGTGCAGCTGTTCTTATCGAATCAACCCCTCCCAACTTTAGTTTTATGAGTCAGGAAAGAATGCATAAGAAAGGGGGTGGAGTTGCTATTCTGTTCAATGATTCCCTTCAATGCAGGAAGACATTTTATGGGAACTTTGCTTCTTTTGAATATGTGGCCCTTCAGCTGAAATGCTGCTCTCGAGCTCTGTTCCTAAATATCTATAGACCACCCAAATACTGTGCAAGCTTTTTTGATGATTTTACCGAACTGCTGTCTATAGTGTGTATTGACTTTGACCGTCTAGTCATTGTTGGTGATTTTAACATCCATGTTGACAACCCCCAGGACAGAGGGGCAAAAGAACTGTTTTGTGTTCTTGATAGCTATGGACTGACTCAGCATGTGACGGAGCCCACGCACAATAAGGGGCACACTCTGGACTTAATTATCTCAAAGGGTCTGAATATCTCTAAGATTGTGGTGACTGATGTTGCACTCTCTGACCATTCCTGTGTTTTCTTTGAGAGCTCTATTTCTGTTCACAACATTTTTCAAAAAGAGGTAACCACAAAGCGATATTTAACTGAAAATACTAGGGAAATGTTTACTCAGAATTTTTCTTCCACACTTGCCCCTGCTAACATCTCAGTAAATGAGCTGGTAGATCATTTTAATTCAAAAATTAAAAATGTTATAGATGCCATTGCTCCAACTAAGGTAAAGGCAGTGTTTGGCAAGAAAATATCTCCATGGAGAAAGGCCATGACCGTGAGAGCAGAAAAAAGAGAATGTCGAAAAGCTGAACGCAGGTGGCGAAAAACAAATCTCCAGGTTCACTTTGAAATCTATAAAGAGAAACTTGGCCTTTATAATTTGGAATTGAAAAACGCACGACAGTCTTTCTTCTCTGACATCATTACCAAAAACAAAAACAACGCACGTGCCTTGTTTGCTACCGTCGACAGACTAACTAACCCCCCAGTGTCAGTAGCCTCTGAATTTCTATCCACCAGGGCGTGCAATGATTTTGCCTCCTTCTTCACTGACAAAATTCAGAAAATCAGACAAGCAGTCAGTGCCTCTGCATCAGGAACAGCAAATGTGTTGTCTCTGTGTCCACTTAACATCAATTCAAACACCATGACATAATTCCATCAGATTAATGATAAAAACCTAGAGGACATTAATCAACTTCTGAAATCCTCCTCCTGCTGCCTTGATATTATTAACAGGATTTTTCAAAGATGTTTTGCCTTGCATGGCCTCAGATCTACTTCATATAGTAAACAAATCTCTTCACTCAGGTATTTTTCCACAGGCCCTGAAAACTGCAGTCATTAAACCGCTCTTAAAAAATAATAATCGAGATGCTTCAGTAATGAACAATTACAGGCCCATATCAAACCTGCCATTTCTAAGTAAAATCATTGAAAAAGTTGTTTTTCAACAGTTGAGTAATTTCTTGCACTTAAATAACTGTTTTGATGTGTTCCAGTCAGACTTTCGTCCAAACCACAGCACTGAGACTGCTCTTGTAAAGGTCTTTAATGACATCCACTTAAACACAGACAGTAGCAGAACTTCAGTGTTAGTATTATTAGATCTCAGTGCTGCGTTTGACACTGTTGACCACAGCATATTACTAGACCGACTGGAGAACTGGGTGGGACTTTCGGAAACAGTTCTAAATTGGTTTGAATCCTACTTAAAGGACAGAAACAACTTTGTTTCTATAGGTAAATACACATCTGAGTTGACAAATATGACATGTGGGGTACCTCAAGGCTCCATCTTGGGGCCTCCTCTCTTTAACGTCTACATGCTACCACTAGCTCAGATAATGAAGAACAACAAAATAAGTTACCATAGCTATGCAGATGACACACAAATTTACGTAACTATTTCACCAGGAGACTATGCTCCAATTCAAACACTGAGTAAGTGCATTGAACAAATCAATGACTGGATGTGTCAGAACTTTCTCCAATTAAACAAAGATAAAACTGAGGTAATGGTTTTTGGAGCCAAGGCAGAACGTATAATAGTTAGCACTGAGCTTCAGTCTGCAATGTTCAAAACAACAGATAAAGCCAGAAATCTAGATGTAGTCATGGACTCTGACCTGAGTTTCAACAGTCACATTAAAACTGTTACTAAATCAGCCTACTATCACCTAAAGAATATATCTAGGATTAAAAGACTAATGTCACAGCAGGATTTGGAAAAACTTGTCCATGCTTTTATCTTCAGTAGACTGGACTACTGCAATGGTGTTTTCACAGGTCTCACTAAAAAATCTATTAGGAAGCTGCAGCTGATTCAGAACGCCGCTGCTCGAGTCCTCACTAACACTAAGAAAGTGGATCACATCACTCCTGTTCTGAAGTCTTTACACTGGCTTCCTGTGTGTCAAAGAATAGATTCAAAATACTGCTGCTGGTTTATAAAGCACTGAATGGTTTAGGCCCAAAATACATTTCTGACCTCCTGCTAAATTATGAACCATCCAGATATCTCAGGTCTTCAGGGACTGGTCAGCTTTCTGCCCCCAGAGTCAGAACTAAACATGGAAAAGCAGCGTTCAGTTATTATGCTCCAAATATCTGGAACAAACTCCCAGAAACCTGCAGGTCCGCTGCAACTCTGACTACTTTTAAATCCAGGCTGAAGACTTTTCTTTTTGTCGCTGCTTTTAATTGAACTATTCATATCTTAGACTGCACTGTAACTTTTATCCATGTATTTTTTCTTTTAATGTTTATTTTATTAGCTTTTCTTTTTAATGATGCCATTTTCTTAATGTCTTTCATTTTTTGTAAAGCACTTTGAATTGCCTTGTGTTGAAAAGTGCTATATAAATAAACTTGCCTTGCCTTGCCTTGTACGATGTGAGGGTCAAAGGGCGTCGTATTTTCATACTGATATTCTGTACAAACTGTGAAGTCCACTGATACAAATGTAACATTTGTGATATTGGGCTATATAAATAAACATTGATTGATTGATTGATTGAAGAGTCCGTCCCATAGATATGCAGTGTAAAATTGGAATATTTTTTTTAAATGTAAAAAGTTTAGAAAAAATTAAAAGTGTCCCATCATGTGCTGAACAGGCTGAATATTTTGTATTTGAATGGTTTCTGTAGCTGAAAGTAGGCTGAAGTTATTCAACGGCAAAAATTGGGTGACATAAGAAGATTAAAGAAAAGAAGAACAATAGTGGGAAAACTGTTGAACAGCATTCACACTAATAAAGATTGCAAAGTGTTTTTCTCCCCTTGTTATTTATCAGAGCTATAAAATACAACTTTTTATATTGCTAATAAATCAATTAAGCTACAGCAGTATGCATTTGACTTTGAGCCAGAAGCAGTTTCATTTAACTATCTTGGTATGCAGTGTGTTCACACAGGAGATTACAGATTATTTTCGTATGCTAAAGTTCAGATCATGTCAAAATCAAAGTTCACAGAAATACTCCACCGACATCCACCATGTCTCATTGACACCCCACCCCCCAGGGGTCGCACGGTATTGCGCAACCACAGCGGTAGTGCGAAAAGAGTTAGGAAGAAAGTTACGTTATGCAGATGATGAAACAACATTAAAACGAGTTGGTCATTCGCTGCTGAATAAATTATATTAACGGAGATAATAAAGTCCAAATTGACTTCCTCACCTTCGTCTGTGAAGTGAAAGCTGCGCAGGAACAGCAGACAGTCTTGCATCCCGGCGAACAGCGTGAAGCCTCCGCCGAAAGGGTTGTTCCTGAAGAAGAGCTCGAACACGGCGGGCTCCTGGTGCCGCCCGGTCCGCCAGTACGCGTACGCCATGGTGACCTGGTACAGGTCGGTGAGCAGAGGGGGGACCCGCTCCCGGATAGAGCGCTCCGTGAGCCCGCATGTGTTGCTGGACGGCGCTGCCATGTTATTGAAGCCCGGGCTGGAGGTTCACTGATGCGGGGATCTCTGGGACTTGCAGTTTTTCCAAGACTCCTTCTCTAGAAAACAGCCCGCGGGAAAGGAGAGGCGGGTGTGTTGTTAGAGCAACACAGTTCTGTCATTCCAGTTTTGACAGGCACCTTTACGTAAACACTATTTAATTAGACTGTGTGCAGTTAATAATGTAATACGTGTCTTAAAAGAGTGGTTTTTGGTTTCCCGAAAAGCACGTGCCTATAAGCAAGAAACAAAGTTCTGTTCAAGTCAGGTTTTATGCGTTTACACAACATGTTGATGTGACTTAATTTTGAAGGGTATAACTAATATTTATATAATTTACTTTTCTTATTTGTTTGACCTTTTCCAGAGACAGTTCATCATGATGAAATAAATATATAAAAATGTAAAAGTACAAATATAAATTGTACTTTAGTATCAAAAACAAGAAACTCCAAATGATTGTCTGCTTTAGAAAAGTGTAGGAAAGTTAAAGCATACAACAGAATAAAGGGGAAATCACAATTGTATTGCAAGTACCTTAGGATTCCAAAAAATTGATTAGAGGTTTTTTGTTACTTTCAGGGTCGGCTGGCAAAATCTGCAGAAGCACTTTCAGTTCAAATATTTTTTGTCAAGGATTCAAATTAAACATGACATGTAAGGTTCATTCAGTAGTTTTTTATTGTTTTTCAAAAATATGAAATACTATTTGAACATTTTTTTTTAATGATTTCTAAGCAACCGCAACACTGCATACAATCTTTATAGTTATTAAATCCAATACTGTATTAGGTATTAATATTTTATAAAAATGATATATTATCTGTTATATCCATGTAGGATAAGCATTAATCTGGGATTTTCTGTTTTAAAAAAAAAAATTAGATGTATCTGTACTCTATTTGCGAGGTTACCTTTCTTGAATCTTTCTAAAGAGGATAATGGCATAACAAATTGAGGATGAATAGGTTTGAGATGATTGACAGGTGCCACAACCTATAAGCAAGCCTCTGATTTTTTTAATTGTGAATACTGAATATTTATACCACTTCAGAACGATAAATATAATTCCCATTAATCGAGAGAATCTATAGGGGAATTGGCGGTGCTTTGTTTGAGGGGTCTCAAGCAAAACAATTCAATAAAAAGCACTGCATCATCAGTCCATATTTCTCAAACCGCATACAGTAGTGTTGGAAAACACATCAGCTCAGACTCCAAACAGTAACGGTCACATTGTGATCCCCACTGTGAGGACGTAGTCGTCTCCAGTTGCCCGTATGGGACCCTGACGGCTTATCTGGACAGCATTTCAAAATGTAATGCACACCTTTGACTCATTTGGTAATTTATCCCAGCTCATCCTGCTCTCCACTGCCCTTCTCCACAGTTGGGAAGCATCCTGCGAGCTCATTGGTTAATGTGTGCTTCTGTCCACCCCAGAGAAAGTGCGTCGGCTGTCCTGATTCGCTGTGCTCCGATGCATAAACAAAAAATGGGCTGAGCTCAATTGCCAGAGCAGACCGGACCAGGCCGACCCCCCCATCACGCTCTGAGCAGGGGTGGTAGAGTCGTCCGCTGACAGGGTGCATGTACAGTGTCTCTGGGCGGAACGGGGCAGACAGCTTATCCGCGCCACCGCAGAATGACAGCAGCTCCTGATCTCCAGGGACTCCCGGGGCCCCCGCAGGACTCTGCAGCAGGTGGGTGAAGACCACCGGGCGGTCGTCGCAGCGCACAAAGTTCCTCTCCCTGCCACACAGGGACAAGAAGGGGAAGTCCTCCTCGTAACGACCACTCTGATTTGAACGCAGACGACTAAAGAAGAACACCAGGAACTTTACGTCTGGAAGTCAAAAAACAGGGATGAGTGTTGCTCTAAAAAAAAAGGTCACATATATTACATGAAATACATTGAAGGCATCAGCACTGGTTTCACACGTAAACTTGCAGTCATTTGTTTAGCAAATATTTAGGAATATGCATCACTAAAACTCAACATTCCCTGACATCAGAAATGCTTTAAGGTGGGTCCTGCATGATCCAGTCTTGACTTTGTAATATTCAGTTTCTCTTATTTGAACAAATGTCATTAAACAATTAAGGCCAACATTAAACCAATCATTGCACTAGATGCTTCTTTCTTTAACATGATCACCCACACACTAGTTTATTTGAACCACATCATACAAACACTTTCCTGCTGCTACAAATATACCCACTACAGTATCACATTTCATCTGGTGCTCAAAATAGTCCCCAACTAATGATCCTCTAATTTCTTTGCTCAAAACTACAGGGAGGAGTTGTGTGTTTGTTACAGAATATTTACGAGCTGTTTTAAGGATTCAGGTCCTCTGTAAGAACCAATGGGTTTAGAGCTGGAGGCCACACACAGGGTACACATTGTGGTTTTAGTCTTCCGATTGAATTTGTTCACATTAATACAATAAAAAAACACGTTGAAAACTGCTTCTATTGAGATGTTATTTAAAAACCTGAAAAAAAAGAATTGTAATTGTGATTACATGTTGAATATTCCTCAAAAGTGATCACATTTTATTGGTTCTATTCTTATTTTTCTCAAACTAACATGCAGCAGATCTAATGCTATCTACTTCATATACATGCACATGATCTACCTTATGTGCAAACTATCAGACTGTTTTACACTGACATTAAAATATATTTGGTGGAGCCATATTGGGAGATTGATTAGTTCAAGGGTAAGGTTGATTTTGGGCAAACTTCCAAGCGTCAATCTCTTTATGGGCTGTGTTTATTTTTTACCTTTGAAGCAGGTGACAAAGTTCTTCACTTTAGTTTCATCGAGGAAAAGCTGTGGAGTGGAGCACACACATAACTGTCATGCTAGCAGGACAATATATTGCATTCGAGTTTTTTAAGGTTGTGTTTTTTGTCAGTTTACCCACCTGTCCTTGGTGGTCAATATAGTAGAAGTATTCTCTGATACGTGGTTCCGGGCTCTGGCCCTGGATGTATGTAGCGGTGGTTCTGGAGGCGGTGAAACCGATGGCAGGCATGCAGCGCAGACCGGTCAGACCTCTGCAGCTGAGGGCCGCCCTCCGAAGGAACAGCATGACCAGACGGAGGCTTAATGTGTTTCCAGAAAACAATAGGACCACTACCTTGTTGGCAAAAGTTGCACAATTCTAGTTTTTCAGCCACAAAATAGAAACGTGTGTCAGTGATTTTGCCCTCAAATTATTGTTTACCTACCAGAGCCACAACCCGGAAGTATTTCAGTGTCGCGACATCCTTGGTTTTTGACTGCTGCTGCCCAGTGGAAATTCATTGTATTTTGTTGTAAATTATTTAAAAGTCCGATACATGGTATAAAAAAAAATCGAGCAGGATCATAAACAAAAATAATAATCTAAACAATTTTACTTTGGACACTCATTTAGAATGAGGAATTTGTGTAGCTATTTTGCTAGTCAATGCCATAGACTGTATATATAAAGGTCAATGCTCATATATTATTGTTGTTAAACTATTTTAGTATGTCCAGGAGATTCCCTTTTTATTTCTACTGTTCAACAAAATTGACACTTTTATGGCACAAAAAAGGTGCACTAATCAAAGAACTAAAGTGCTTGTTTGGAACCAGGGATTCAATTATTTTTAATATTAAACAGACTTGGATCCGGATTATTATTATTTCGAATGTTGAAGGATCTAATGGCTTAAAAGAGCTCCAACATGCAGGCAGAAATGTACCTGTCCTAAATGTGAATCATGTTTCAACAACCCCTGTCTTGCAAACTCTTTATGGATTAATGTATTACTTATTTTGTCTTTAAATTGTATTCATTTCACACAGCCAAAGGGGATGTATTTGATTTAACAGTCAGAAAACTATATTTTCAGTATACTAATTACTATCATATATCTAATATCATAGACCCACATTAAGTGTCTACTTAATCTGGCCTGTATGCTGTTTGAATATACTAGGCTGAATACTAGTAATCACAAGACACCAACGTCACTTTTCCTAACTACTGTTGTATGCTTTATATATATTTTACATTTCTTTAAGTTGTATATAATGCTCCCTCTTATAATTGATTTCCCCCCCCCCTTTAACTTTAACATTTTTCTTTATCTGTAACTTTAGCTAATATAACTGAAAAAAAACCTAAATCCTCACATTGGAGAAGCTGCAACTAGTAAACGTTTGTCATTTTTGGTTGATATGACTAAAAGAAATGTCTTTCGCTTTATCGACTACTTGCATTGTTGGTTTTCAGCAAGCCAGCCACTTAGAACCTACAGTATGAGTTCATGAGCAATAAACAGTGTGAGCAGCCTACATATTGTATAACAACTTGGGAATGTGTAATTCCAAGCAGGGAGTATGCTAATGATGGAGGGAACACAGCACTCTTTGGGGAGCTGCATGTAAATCTCTTTGCTAATAAAAAAGAATCCAACATTCCTCCCCGACAGACAGAGGCTGCTCTCCCACACCCCTAAAACAGAACTATAAACAGAGGCTTCTTCAGCTCCAGATGGGAGACTGACAGCACACAAAGCGGCCGATTCAGAAGAGCTGGTAAAGCCTTCATCTTCATCCAAAAAACCCTTATTTGTGAATCTCTAGCTGTGTAAATCTCATCTGAACCTGAAGCTTCTCTTCCGCCTTCCTCCTCTTCCTCCTCCAGGTGGGTGGGGAGCTGTATATACCTGGCGAGGAGTAATTTGAAAAATGGCGTCATAGTTGGACTTTACAGTGCTTTTGTCGACATATATTCACAGTAAGTAATATATTTCACAGTTGGGTCGACTTAAGACTTTATAACATACACCTTTGTAAGCTAATTAAGTAAAACGAAGCTTTTTAGAAGCTACGGAGCCATGTTTTATTTTAATGTGTTTACCTGTGAAACCTGCTTCACCGTTGCCTGACACTAGCTTAAGTCCTCGTAAACAACAGTTTTGTTTGTTTGTTTGTTTGTTTGTACACGTTGATAACGATTAGAGATATGTGGTTAAACGAAAGCTTACATTGTTTGACGTTTATAGCGTAACCGAACGTCAACGGTCGGAATTAACGTAGCCTAAATAACAAAAATATTCTTCATTAAAATAACTTTTCTTGAATAATTGTTCATGGATATAGTAGTCTGTAGGCCTACAGTGTGTTTATTGTTCAAAGGTCATTTATGTATCCAATTGTTCGGTTTCGGTCAGCAGGTATGAGCCAGCCGCCGCGCTCGAACCGGGGACACCGGGAGAGAAACGGAGAGCACCGGGAGAGAAACGGAGAGCACCGAAACTACCGGGACTCCAACGATGACGGGTGCGTTCAATGTACTTCATTAAATACCATAAAACCCTCTGCTTTACCTGTAGTATTACCTGTTATAGTAGGCCTACCTATGTCCAGTGGTGGAAAGTAACTAAGTACTGTACTTGATCTGAGGTAGACCTACTTGTAGCCTACTTTACCCCAGCATTTTCATGTTACACTACTTTAAACTTCTACTCTACTACTTTTTGGAAGCCAATTTTGTACTTTTTAATCCACAATATTTATTTCACAGATTTAATCTCTAGTAATTTTATAAATTCAGATTTCAACACACAATATTTATCAAACCTTTTTAAAATGTGATTATTTGGTATCACCATCCAACATTATATGTGAGGCGTAACAGAAAATGTATTGGCAGCAATTTTTCCAAGACATTTTTTGTTTCACAGATCCAACTTTTTAAATGTGAAGATTTGCTCCATTTGCTTTAAAATATTAAAATATTTCAGATTTGTTTTTACTCAAGTAAAGAACCTGAATACTTTTTCCACCACTGCCTACGTCAAGAGTTCATCAAATTTGTTTTTTAATATATATATATATATTGTTTTTAAATAAAAGTTAACCATCAATTATGCTTTTTTTTGTTTACCAATATATAGATAATTCTAGTTGAACCTACACAAGCCCAACCCAACACCACTAACATGGGCCACAGTGTTTTATTATTATTATTATTATTATTAATTTACAGGAATTATTCTGTATTATTATGCAGACAATATTCTCATATGCTATGCAACTGTATTTCATTGCATCTATAGTGTATTTAGGCGTTATAATTCCAAGATGTAAACAAGCTAAAATCATTACTGGTGTCATCATGTATGTGTTTCTGTGCTTCAGGTCTTCCTCCAGACCCCCATACTACCCCAGAGAGACCGACCCCCCCTCCCAAACATGTGCGGGAACGGGAAGCCCCTCGAGAGGAGCACCACGAGTCCAAATGCTCACACATTTGCTCCAGGAGAGGTACGTAAGGATCACAGTGGGTTGAATATAAAATGAAAGCTCTGTCTATGCGTCACAGGGCGGACTTTGGTTTCAGTCTCATTGCGGCACAGTCTTAATTCTTCCTTCTGTGAATACTGGACGCACCTGTTTCTGGTGTTTATACAGTAGGCCTCTTTTTACTGAGTTTACACTTTGCAGGGCTAACTTTAACAAAGGACATATTGGATTACCTGGTACCTTGGTCTAAATGTTTTCATGTACTTCATGTAAAAGAAGTTAATCCTCTAGGAATGTGAAAAACAATAATCTACCCACCCTATTTGTCAATTATTAATACTAAATTATATATATTAGTATTGTTGGTCAGGCAACTACATTTGAAGGCATCACCTTGGGTTCTGGGAACTTTGGAAAGTATTTAAATTTCCATTTTTTTCAGATGGAATGCTAAATTAATTGAAGTTAAAAAGCAGTTGTTCTTAAATGTTATTATTATTATTTGAAACCCTACATATACACACACACGTGTGATATCACACACTGTATCCTCACAACATTTGTTTTCTGTCTCACAAACAAACACTAATATGATAATAATATAAGATAAGTACATTTTATCTTATCTTATAATGTAAAATGCAACATGACTGGTTGGCAAGCATATAACTCGAAAATGCATTTCCTGCTGAAAATGCGTGTGAATGCTGAATGTAGCTGAAAATGAAGAAAAAGCTGAATATTGTATTAGTTGAACGGTCTCTGTAGCTGCTTTTAGCTACAGAGACCAAGTAAGTTTGTTTGCTGAACTTAGCGGAGAAATGCAGAAAGTGAAATTATTTGAATCAAAATTATTACAGCTCAAATTGAAAGTGAAATGTTACTGGAAGAGTAGGAAAAATAGTGATGAAGCTTAATACTTCAAAGAAAAGTAAAACAAGGTATAAACAACAAACTATCGCCTCAGTGTCCTGAAATAGGTGAATAATGTAATAGTTGAATGGTTTCTGTAGCTGAAAGTATGCGGAAGGAGTTAGCGGACAAAGTTTGGTTGAAATAAGAAGTTGAAGAATAAAGATTTGAAGAACAATAGTGGATTAATTCTTGCTCTTTATTGCATAGCCTTCTCACCGTTTCAGTAAAGAAACACTGTTTATTTTCTATATAAAAGGCTATCTCTATGAAGGGGAATCCCTACAAACGCCTTGTTCTGATGCTGTGACCCCCTTCCTCACCTGTCTCACGTGTTGACCCCCCTCCAGGCATCATGCTGATCTGTGCCGTCCTCACCAACAGCCTGGTTCTGATCTGCCTGATTGCAGCCCACATGGTGTCCTCGGGCATGTCCTCGGGGGGCGGGCTGGGGGGCTTCGACATGAACTCCAACTTCAACCTGCAGGGCACGGAGCTGCAGAAGGCGCGGGAGCTGGACATGCAGTACAGCCAGATGAGGGCGCCGGGCCTCTACGGGGGGATCCCCTTCTGCCTCACCCTCGGGGTCCTCTCGCTGCTGTTCGTGGTGGCCGGGAACAAACCCCCCCACCACATGTCCCGGAAGCTTCTGTACGGAGCACTGGTGTTCCAGGCGGTGGGAGCGGTGGTCTACGTGGTGGCCGTGGGGCTCTACCTGCACTTCATCATCAGGGTGAACGCCACTGATGTGTGTCAGCAGCGCGCCAGGATTTACGGAGGGAGGGGCTACACCTGGATGAACTGCGATGTGGGCGGGGCCGACGCAGCCGTGGCTCTGTTCGGGCTCATCACGTCCATTCTGTACGGCGTCGGCACCGTGCTCACCTTCCAGACCATCCGGGGGGTGAGGCGCTACCTGGAGGAGAGGAAGTGCAGAGAGGCGGAGAAGCAGCAGGCCAGAGCCAACGCACAGAGAGCGCCGCTGAGGGCCGACACCACCTCTGTGTGAGGGGCAGAGAAGGATCACAGATAGTTCTGGTATCATGAAGCTGGCTCACTTGACTGGGGTATATCACCATGGAAACCTACTCTGCTCTGTATCAGGTTATGTTCAGAGCATCAGAACCTGGAAGAAATTGAGTAATCATTCCTAAAGGATCGTCACTTGGATAAAAGGAATGAGTTTACAATAATGGGACGGAGCATTAGAGACATTTTTATAGATGGTGCATACTACGGAGGCCCTGGGAGGCCATGAAGGGATTATTTTTCAGAACAACTTTTGTGTTCCCCTTTTTCTTTGTTTTGAAACATCTTGCAAATGGTAAATACACTGCATTAATCGAACCCTTTACAACCCCTCAAAGGGCTTTTACATATACAAGTCAGCATTCACACACACACATTTTCTTACTGGGTTCAAACTAATTCCCCTAGTGACCTTTCTAAGCGCTGTATAATACCATGGTGATTTTGTTGTAGATAGATGAATAGGGGACTTACAAAACTCAAATGAATGATGCTAATAGCTGCCTATTAAGTGCCTTTTAATGCTGGTATCCTTCCCTACAGCTCAGGATAACGGGTGTTGAGAATGTTAAGACTCAATACCCTCGGTCAATGTTAGAGGACAACAAACATGCACTCCAAATATTAAATGCAATATGTTTGTAATTGATTTGGGACCAGTGTTGGGTTTAGTTATGTGCTTTTTGAATTCCATGTCACATTAAATTCTTCTTCTGCTGTCCTTGGCTCTTTAGCTTTAGTCCTTTGTGACAGTATGGGCACATGTAGAAGTACATTTTTCATGTGAACGGTTTGTTTGTTGGATTGTTTTAACTCAGGCCTGGATTTTCTAAATGTTTAAATTAATGTTTTTGTATCAATGTTTGTTTGATAATGCCACCTTTTTGATATTGATAATGTACATGAATGTATCTACTCAAATTAAACCTATCAAACATTCAACTGTTGTGTTTATGATTACAACAGCCTGTAGGGGGCGCCAGAGCTCTGGACCACTGCTGCTGATTTGCTCCTCTGTCCCCTCCAGAGGCTTCCTGCCAGCCATGACTTCACTGCTGTGTCCCCCCCCCCCCCTCTCTGCTGTCAAACAATGGGACACACACACACACACACACACACACACACACACACAAAGGACTCAGCAGTGATGTAACTGTTGGTCTGTTTGGTCAAAACGTAATTACTAACAAAAGAAACTCTCCAGAGTGAGGTAATTACCCAAGTTCTAATTTGACCATTTCAGAGAACACAATGCAGTGATTGTATGCAGAGACAAGTCTGTTGCTTGTTCAGCCCTTCTTAACCATGATCATTTGAAAATAAAATATGTATACAAGGGACTACTATTTTAGAGGTTTGCACTACAGCCATGCAGTTTCAGATATGTGACACGTTTGGATATATCGGTTTTTAACATCCATTAAAAGTGAATGAATGACTTGAATTGATTAGACCATTACTTGTCTAATTGTTCAAGCATAAGCATCAAACCATATCTTGTTACAGCGTTTGGGGGAGTGTGTGGGAGAGGAACTCCCTCTGGAGGGAAATGTTTAGCCTTGTCAGAACATTTACATGCAGCAAATGCAACCTCCTCAAACCCCCCAGGACCAAGCTCCGTCCTATGGGAGAGCGGGTCTTCTGCTCGGCTGCTCCCAGTCTGTGGAACGCTCTCCCCGACCACGTCAGAGCACCACAGACCGTGGAGGCTTTTCCTAGACCTTTTATTTATTTATTACTACCCTTTTATTTTTGTTATTGTTTATTTTTACTGCTTTTTATTCATTCTACCGTGTTGTGTACCATTTTTTATATTGTTCCGTGATCACTGCTTGTAGCACTTCGGGATTTGAACTCAAATATGAAGTGCGTTATAAATGAAACCCATTATGTAACACACTACAGGGAAGGGAACCCCCCAACACTTATACAAATAAAAGCCTTGGAAAAACAAAGCTTAACATATGGCTACAAAAAGTCTCCTTAAGTACAAACATCCACTCCTCCACAATAAGTCAAAGTCAACAAGTTGTGCTTATCTGAAAACTTTTAATTTATTATATAGCAAAAGTAGCTCTCTTGTGCGATTTGCCATTATCAAGAAGTCTGTAGCACTGTTCTGAGAACATTCATTCAGCTGGTGATAACTGTAACATCCCCCCCCCACACCCTTCAGCACTGCAGCACCACTCTGCACTCTCCACACCCGAAAACACAAACCTGGAATATCAGCCTTTTGAAATGATCATCGTTTCTCTCAGAGAATATTAGTACGCTTCAGTGACTAAGTCACTTTAAAGTATTAAACTCCTAGGAGTTAGTTTAACAGTTTTACTAACTCGGACAACTGTAAAGGCCAAGAGCCGCGACACACGGGGGAAATGTCTGCTACAACACAAAGGTCCCTATCTCCAAGTACCATTTAACAGAATGATTTTCCAATAAAAAAGCATTTCAAAGAGCTTCTTAAAATTAAAGATATGGTAAAAAAAAGAAAATCAATTACACGTGAAGATTGTATCAATGTTAAGTGTTGTAAAAAATTGCATTGCGTTTCAAGGGGCAAAGAGTTAACAGTAGAAAATAAAGTAAACAACAAAACACAGTCTGTCTGGTCCAGAAGCATGTTCAGAATACTCTGAGGATCTTTTGGAGGGAGCGGTACGACCTAAAGTGGAAGTTAGAGCGGTACGACCTAAAGTGGAAGTTAGAGCGGTACGACCTAAAGTGGAAGTTAGAGCGGTACGACCTAAAGTGGAAGTTAGAGCGGTACGACCTAAAGTGGAAGTTAGAGCGGTGCGACGAAGAAGTCTGCAGGTTTCTGGTAGCTGTGTGCTGGCTGGCTTTGTGTCTGCATCTGCTGCTGCTGCTGCTGCTGCTGCTGGATGATCTGCCGGACCTCCTCCTCCAGCTCTGGCGGGATGATGAGCTGGTCGTCGGGGTCCGGCTGGGCGGGAGCGTTGAAGTAGCCCCCCTGCTTCCTAACGGGGGCGTCGGCCGCCTCCTCGATGAGGTCCTGGTTCCTCCCTTGGCAAGCCACGGAGCCATTAGCACGAGCCCTGCGGCCCAGGGTCCCAGACTGAGCCTCCCCGCTGAGGCAGGGCGAGGAAGGAGGGACGGGGGAGGGGGACGGCGAGGAGAAGGGAAGAGGCGAAGGTGAAACCACAGCAGGAGGGATTTTTGTGCTTGGTGTAGTGTGCGTTTGGGGGGCTGTGCAGCCATGGCGGTGGACGTCAGCCTCCACCTCGACGCGGCTGCCGTTGGAGAAGACCCCGGCGATGGGCTCCTCGTCCTCGCTGTCCACCCCGTGGTCCGACAGAGCTCCGGAGAACTGCCTGTGGAAGCTGCCTCCTCCACAGGGCGGCCTGCGAACGCCGGCCCGCCCCGGCAGGTTCAGGTGGGAGGGGAGGGGCTCTGCCTGGGGCGGGGGCTCCTCCGAGGACGCGGTGGACCCCACCTCGCTGCTCATCTCCGACGTGCTGAACTCGCTGCTCAGCTCGCTCACTGTCCCAGAGGAGGCGGGGGGCAGCGGTATGCCATCACTGCCCACTGAGTAGGGGTGAGTGCTGGTGTGCACCCCCGGGCCCGGGCTGGGTGGAGGGGGCTCGGGCTCGCAGAAACAGCAGCAGTCCTCCGTGATGCTGAGCTGCACCACCACAGCGCTGAGGCTGTCGGAGCAGCCGTAGCTCTGAGCCAGGGTCACCAGCTTCTTAGCAGCAGCCAGAGCGTCCGGAACATTCCTGACCGCCTCCACCGCCTCGCTGGGAGACAACATGTCCCATAATCCCCGGCTGCCCAGCAGGAAGAACTCGTCCTGCGGGGTGAGGGTAACCGTGGAGACGTGCGGTCTGGGCGTCACAGAGGGGCACAGGAAGGAATAACCCATGATCCTGGTGGAGTCAGTCACACCACTCACTTTGTTGTCCTGTAGGAGGGGGGTAAAGGGCTGTTAGGTAAACCAATGACGGCATTGCAACTGTAATGTGTATGAGGTTATCACTTTATTAATAAGAAAATGAACCAATCATCAATATTTTATGAAATTGCTCAATCTGCAAATGAGTGTGTCTTTACCTCGGTGATGATGGCGTTATGCTGCCGGACCCTCAGGTACTCGAGCTCCTCTTTGACGGTGTGTGTGGTGGAGAGTTGCATAGCTTTACCGTCACGGCACAGAACCGCCTGGCACCGGCCCACGTTGGCGGCCTTCAGGGTGAAGCAGCCCCCGCGCTCGCCCGGAGCCACCGGGTCGTGTTTGATGTGACACAGAGCGGCCGAGCCCCCCATCCTCTGACCCGCTGTGCCCAGTTTCCTGCAGCAGAGCAACGCAGAAACTCTTAGTGAAGAGTGTGTATGATCTTTGTTACAGCTAACAACTGAGGGAGAGTTCACGGTTCTACTCCTGTGTGCTGCTCGGGGAATATTTCAGCATCAGAATCAGGTTTATTGCAAAGTATTTTTACACATAAAAGGGATTTGCAGTGGCAAAACAGGGAGCAAGAAAAAGAGGAATTACCTTTTATAATAATAGGGCGAATATAGAACTATTTGTTTATTTATTAGATTAATAAACAGGGACATTCCGCATTTATAGACAATTCTGTAATCAGTAAGAGGCTATTTGACATGTGCCATCCCAGGACAGATGTTGCAGAGTCATCAAAAAAACAAACAATATTTGAAAAATATGTAATAAAATCATAAAAAAAGCGTACCAGGGCTCACAGTACAGGAATTGCTGATAAAAACAAATAAAACATACGTATTACAATACATCACATTACGAAAACTATTGTAAAATAAAACATGTTTACAAGAAACGTATATATACAAACAGGTAAGTACATTTGAGAAATGATAGTAGTTATAAGCTGTGTGTACCTTTGCATGGTGAGGAAAGTGTTGGTCATGTAGTCTTCCTGCCTCTGGCCCCTGTGCAGCTCCTCTGCCAGCACGTCTCCCATGGTGCACTGCAGCAGGTAAGGCACCTCCACGTTCTTGTCCCCGTCGAATACTCCGTACAGAGCCTCACGGATCCCACAGAAGCTGTCCAGGGCCAGAGCTGCCACACACAGCCTGAGAACAAGAGGCACAATATATGACTGAATATAAACAACCCGGCTTTCATTTCATTCTGCCTGCTTGGTTTCAGTCTTAATAACATATCGGGATTCAGCACACTATAGCACACAAGGCGCGAAAGATACGACTGTAGCACTGCAGTGACTTTCATACCTAAAAACTAAGATATGGTTCATTACTTACATTTGAACTTAATTGTATCTCCTTTTAAGCTTTAGGGGTTTGGATCTCTTGTCCATGTTCTGCTCTTCAAACTTGATATTCTCCAGGGACAAGCATGATGTCCAAGGTTAAAGACTAAAAATAGTCTTATTGACGGTTTAATCCGTCAGATCTGCTGACCCAAAGCGTTTAAAGGCTACAAAAACATCAAACTGTTTAGCTGCAGCTCCATACAGCAGAGTAAGAGCTTTTCAACTATTTTGGAAATTATTATTTTCTTACATTTTCATTATAATTTAGTCTTATGCAGTTTTTTATGCCTTCACAGGACTTTTGTTTTATTTATTTCATTACTATTGTTTTTCAGAGTGTGTGTGTATATCTAAATAAACGTGAGGTGCACATGGAGAGAAACAAAAATAGAAAGGGGGGACTGACTTGTTTTTGACTCCAGAGGCCTCTGTGTAGCCGTGGCTCCAGACTGCAGGGGCCCCGTGGCTCTCGCTCACACACGGAGCTGAAGGGGATGGATCCACCCTGAAACATTTGATATTACTGCAGAGAGGAGAAAGAAAAGGGAAAGAGGCTCAGCCAGTTGCTTCTTCACGATTCAGTACATTTACTGTCTTTTTTTCAGTATCATCACTACTGCAGGATCTAGCAGGCTCGTACTTGAGGAGCTCCAGGCTCTTGTG